AATTTTAGACAAATTTGCAGACAATTTGTATTTAGGTTGTCTACTTTGCAGCCAATCAGAAATGAGCTTGAATTAAAATCTCGGTCAATGACCAGAAATTCTTCACATATAAATAAACTAGTGCAGTTTTTTGTGAAATCCATACTTTATGGACAATAAATGACTTTACACAGCTTCTCCATATATCTACAAATGTTCTCTTTTTATGTAAACTAAAATGAATGCATTGTAGATATATGGGCAACAGGAGATTTTCCAGTGAATTAAAAATCATGGAATAGAGAGAAGCCCTTATAGAGAGTTATATAGCTCTTTAAAGGAACGCTATAGTATTAGGAGACTGTATTCCTAACACTAAAGGGTTCCTCTGTGCCCCCGCCCCTTCTCGCGTCCCCTCACCAGCACTGAAAAGGGAAATAACCCTTTCTTTCACACACCTTATTTCAGTGCACTGGCTCCACCTCCTCCGATGTTAGCCCCGAGGGGGAACCTAATGCACATGTGCAGCTCACATTAAGCCTTCCCCAAAGGAAAGCTTTGCATCAATGCTTTCCTTTGTGGATTCTGAGGATGCTGGACATCTTCATGCAAAGCGTGAGGACATCCAGTGTTGATTCACAGAGTCAAACTCTGTGAAACAGCAGGAAGCACCTCTAATGGCCGTCTGGTAGATGGCCACCAGAGACAGTCTTAGCACTGCATTGTAAACTTTGCGGGGCCAAGGTGGACAGGGACACTGCACCCAGACTGCTTCAGTGAGATGAAGTGGTCTGGATGCCTATGTTTTATCCCTTTAAGTATTTAGTATTGTTCTGAAAAAATGAGAGTGAACTGGCCTCAGTGAATCTCTAGCTATATAACATGTGTATATATATAATGTAGATAACATGTAGATGTAAGTTTTTTTTTGCCATTAGATTATGTAAATAGGTGGATACATCACCTTTTAAATAAAATGCAGACTACTGTATTTAACTATATGGCCACAAAACATTTAAGATTTGAATTTGTAACATTTGTTACATTTGCTTTAGGCTCATTGGGCTTTCCAAAAATGATCAAATAATAATAATAATGACAAAAAAGTAGATACCAAAGATAGACAAGTCAAATATTATCAGTGAATTTAATTAGGGTTTCAAAGCATTAAACATGGCCTTTCTCTTAGTGACCTCCCAATAAAATGCACTTAGGCAATAATTAAATGAAGAAATGAACTCTAATTTTTGGAAGTAGGCCCAAAATAGTTCAAGGTTTAAGTCTAGGCACATGTATACATTGACTATAGGAAGATATATTGTAAAGATTGTTGCGTCTCTGAGCAGCCATGTTCTTGGCTTGTATTGTATTATAAAAATTATCCATGCCCCAGGGTCTGGACGGTATAAGTTGCATCTCATAATCCTTTTTTTTTTCTTTTTCATTTATGTCATGGATATCAAGGTTATGAAAAATCCCGGAGCCTAAACAGCATAGCTGGCATGAGTGGGAATACGCTCAGACTGTCTCCTATCTCCACCCCATTTGGGTCACCATCTGCAGTGAGACGCCCGCGGTCTCCCATTCCCTCCATCTTATAGCATGGACTCAACCAACTGATAAGGGGAACCTTAACTAGTAATAACAAGACAATAACAGACACACATCAAAACTGGCAAATGAACACAAATAAGAGACTAACAAATTCTATTATTTTTTAAGCGGTTGACAGAAATTATAGATTATATGCAGATATATTTAAAAAAAAAATCAAGTTTGGCTTTTAAAAGAAAAAGACAACAAAAAAAATCAAAAAAAATCAACATTTTGCACTTTGCTGACGAATATTAAAAAACAAAAAATACAAAAAAAAAGACTTCCACTTCTCCCCCTGCTGAATCGAATTGGTGTGCTCCAGGAAGGAGTTCTTTGCGGAGTAAAGCAAACTCTTCCTGCATGGAAGCAAAACACCAAAGGATGTTTTATTAGGGAGGAGGGTGATAAGAGGGTATCATTTTTTTTAAAATTGATATAATTATTTATCGTTCTTAAAGGTTATCTTCCTGGAAAAAAAAAATTACAAAAAAAAAAAAAAATCCTAAAAATTACAAAAAAAAAAGAAAGAATGAAAACTGTTAATGAGCCTGAAAAACCTCTTTAAATATATATAGACATATATTTAACTTTATGACTCTCCAATACATAAATACTCTTTTTTTAAGTGCCCCTACTATTAATTCATCTTTTTTTCCTGTTTGATTAAACTTCCATTCTTACGGAGCTGCTTCTTGCTTCCCTCTGTCATTCGTTACCACCATTCTCAGGATTTTAAGAGCCATACCTCTGAAATGTACATGAATATATATCTATATCTATATATCTATACACACAAAAAATATATATATACATATATATACATATATATATATATATTTTTTTTTTTTTTTTATATTTTTTTATATTTTTTTTTTTGGTTCCAAGGATACTCAAAAATAAAAATAAAAAGAAGTCGCATTGTATCCTTCCTGTTGGAAAATTTTCACAATCATATATAGAATATATATAAATACTTAATGTATATATTCTATATAGAGAATATATAGATATTTATATATTCTGCATCTCTCCATTTCCTTAAATCCTTTTGTGCATGATCTACTGTTGCAAGCAATAAAAAGTCTGCCTGAATGCATGTTCCTGAACAAGTTTAATTGAAAACTGTATATATTGTAGCTTAGCACAGTGACATTCCCATACGCTGGCTAATCATTTTGGTGCATGGCTCTTTGTATTGGTGGTTAGTCCGTGTCAGAAAGTCCACTTTTCCTCTCTCTATCTCACCCTTTTGATCTTTTTCCTCTCACCACGTCCTCTCTCCTCTCCCCTTTTTATTTTTTTATTTTTTTTTGTTTTCTCTTCCTCGCACAGAAAATTATAAGGAAAGTCCAGTCCTTGTCCGTTATATGCAGGCGGAAGCTGTCACTGTGAATTAATACGATTTCCACCCATAATTAAAATCTCCTTCAGACACCTTGAATTAAGAGGATTTTTTTTTTTTATTAACAACAAATGCAAGGTAATGAAAAAAAATATGAAATAATAATAATAATAATATAATGAAAATGAAACCAGGCAAGGACCAGAAAGAAAAAAAAATGAAAAATGCTCATATAATGAAGATTGGAATCCTTTGTTACGCCAATCAACAATCCCATGAAAATGGCATACGGATTAAAAGAAAAATGGGCAACCAAGAACAAAGGAATTTGAAATAAACTGATTTCTTCTATTTTTTAAATTGAGGTTATATACAATGGATTGCACTGGAGAGGAATATGAAGAATGTGATGATTGCTTTGACATTTTGATTGGCAGAAGTCTGCCGACGATGCAATAGTGCATCTAAACTATTAACAATAAAATGGATAAAGAACTGGGAAATGATGACAAAACAAAACAAAAACAAAAGTAAACATACTATTTAAAGGTTGCATTTTCTTAGCCAGCATGTGTTTGCATGTTATACTGTAACAATGATATTTAATGTTATATGCAAAAACAAAAAAGTTATATTTTCCTTCCAGACTGCAAAATCTGAAAAAATATAAAAAATTTAGCCAGCCATTCAATGAGTACCTTAAAGACATTTATTTAAATTGGATGAATATATGTAAGAAACTTTTTTTTTTTAATTTTGCATCGGATGATTATTCTTAACTTGGTTCTATGATTGTGTGGATAATTACTGTTCAAATTGAAGGAATAATTAATTGATGCATTTTCACGGATGCGTACCATGTGGTTGGGGCCTATGTTTTTTGAACTTAAAGGATGATGCATTGGTTTCAATGATTACTTTATCAATCTCGCCCTATGTTACCTAGAGGTTCAATGTACCAGGGTTTTTTTTACGGTTCAGGTGGATCTGTTTAGATCTGTGTTAATGAGTTATATGGCCCTTTAGGGTTATGGAAGAAGGAGAGAAAGAAATTAAGAAACTGCCATATTGTTTGTTCGTGGACAGAACGAAAAAAATGGCAGATAAAATTGATAGTTAAAAAAAAATGGCTGATTGACAAGTTATTTGTAAAGCTTTAGAGATGGAAAATAAGTACTTCTCACAATATCAAGACACCCATTTTCTCATTAACTAACCTCAGTAGAAAGAGTGTCCTGAAGCTCGGTAATATGTTATCTAATCCTCCAGATCTCACTGGCCATGCTAACCAACTCTAGTATTATGGTACTTTTATGGTTCCATCTGGCAAAAGGGAACGCTTGGAGCTTTTTTTGTATGTCTGATTCACCTATTCAAAATATTTTGACATTATCAAGGTTACATAAATTCTAAAGGCCAGCTAATGCTATGATAGCACTTAATAAAGTTTTGCAATTTGTATTGAATTAACTTTGCACACTGTATAAGTAAATTCAAGAGTCTTAAAGCTTTATTCAGAACATTTATTTACCAAAAATTGAACAAACCTTAGTGGGCAGGTTAAATTTGTATAATATTCTAAACAAAACCATACACAAGATTAAATATGTGCAATTCAAAGACTAACTTGCGTAAATGTGCCCTACCTTTTGCAAAAGTGCTTAGGTGGGAGCACTTTAAGTACAATTAAAATATGAGGGGTGGGGGGCTTGGCAAAGCAACATTTGATAAGAAGTCTAGATTTTACTGTTGCTGTAGTTTAAAACGTTACGTTATGTTAAGTTGGGTTTTATTTCTTTGTTTGTTGTTGGGTTTTTTTAAGTTGACGCCTACCAAAAACAGAGGTGATTTACTAAACAACGATAAATCGAGAGATGTTTCTTTAGTGAGAATTTTTACAATCCATTGTTTATTTATCACTTGAAGATTTGAGTTCCAATGAAATTTTCTGATTTTTTTCACCCTTTATCTGTTTTTAATTTCTTCAATATTCTTAGTCTCTTTTGTTATACATTTAAAAACACATAAACCTGGCAATTAAAGGACCACTATAGTGCCAAGAAAACATACTCGTTTTTCTTGCACTATAGTGCCCCCACCCTCAGGGTCCCCCTCCCGCCCGGCTCTGGAAAGGGGTTAAAACTTACCTTTTTCCGGCACTGGGCGGAGAGCTCTCCTCCTCCGATCCTCCTCTTCTCCTCCCCGTCAGCTGAATGCGCACGCGCGGCAAGAGCTGCGCGCGCATTCAGCCAGTCACAGCGGAAAGCATTCATAATGCTTTCCTATGGACGCTGGCGTGCTCTCACTGTGAAAATCACAGTGAGAAGCACGCAAGCGCCTCTAGCGGCTGTCAATGAGACAGCCACTAGAGGAAATAGGGGAAGGCTTAACCCATTCATAAACATAGCAGTTTCTCCGAAACTGCTATGTTTATGAAAAAATGGGTTAACCCAACCTGGACCAGGCACCCAGACCACTTCATTAAGCTGAAGTGGTCTGGGTGCCTAGAGTGGTCCTTTAATTCTGAATTGAATTTACCAAAGCTTTATTTTATAACATAGCAATTTCCATACATTGTTGTAATTGGCAAAGCTACACATTTAACAATAAAGTAGAGCATCCCACTACCTCACTATTTACTATACCAATAAACAACTAGAAGGGCATAAACTCTATATGCCTCAACTATTATGACTAGGAGATTAGATGCACCTTCATGCCTGTCTTGTGAGTGTTGTAACAGTTCTTCCAATGTGTTTTAGCTAGACCTTACTTCCCCCAAAAATAGAACATGAGTGCTCTTCTTAAAAATTGTGAGCACCGTATGGAGTGGCAGATATATTCCACACATTCATTTCTATAAACCCAAATCATTCCACACACCCCTCCCCTCCCCCAAATTAAAAAAAAAATTATATATATATATATACACACACACTTTTCTAAAGAGTGATGTTTGTAAAAGAGACTCTAGAATTTTAAGAAATGTCTGTTTTTTTCTGATGTTTAATCCTGATGTGATTTAATGTCTAGAAAAAAAACACCAGGATAAATCACAAATCAATTAAACAAAAATGGACATTGCATTTCATAAAATTACAAAAATTAAAAAGAACAAATAATTCACATTCAGGGTATTTGTAATGCCAAATATTAAAATAAGAGTATTTTGTTCAACAAAGCAGATTGCATAAATAATGATGTTTTGTTAGGTCAGTGCATTCTGTCCCTTAAATGTGGCTAGCTGAGCATCATGGTGAATGTAGTGCACAAACATTTGCAGCACATTGGTTAGCCATCCCTATTTAGGCACAACATAATTAAATGACACTTCATGCATTTTCTGTCCATCAAATCCCTAACAAAAAAGGTCTGGAGTCTATATCCCCCAACTCTCCTGGATTCAATGTGAAAGTCCTGATATCACAAAAAAAATCCCCCAAAAAGCACAGCATGTTCACATCATTAAATGTGCTCACAATGTGCAAAAATAAACTCAGGGCTTTTCTGCTCTGCACACAACCAATCATAAGGACCTGTCACTATGTGCATTACCTCTAACTCCTTTTACTGTCCTGTCCCTTCCTTGGTCGCTTACAAACCACCTTTAGTTGGATCGGAAGGGAATGTATTTACTGCACACATTATTATGGACTACAACAGCACTTACATATAATGTGTACGTTTGCTGACATAGTTATGTTTTAAATAGGCATCATTCATTTAATATTTATATAATTATATATAAATAAATATATATAGATAACTTTGACGAAGCTTAGCTTTGGACACTCTGAAAGAATAAAAAGACAGCAACATAATAGACATTAAATTCCATTGTAAAATATTCAGGAGGCCTGTGAGGTCCAAACTTGTTCAGTTTTTGTCTTATACGCAACATAGAATTCTGCATGTACTAACTTGGAATCACAGCCAAGTTATTGCATATATACAGTATTTTTTGTTAAAAACTGTTCAAAGTTAAACATGAATAGCCTGTTCAGAATCCTCTGGTTGCACAGTAAGTCATTTTAGTTGATTCTTTTCACTAAACCGTGAGCTGAGGCTATTTGTAAATTTTAGTTACAACTGAAGGACATAGGTGAAGTGTTTTGTTAGTCACACTATATATAGATTAAAGGACCACTATAGTCACCCAGACCACTCCAGCTCAATGAAGTGGTCTGGGTGCCAGGTCCCCCGGGTTTCAACCCTTCACATGTAAACATAGCAGTTTTAGAGAAACTGCTATGTTTACATTTCAGGGTTAATCCAGTATTCACCCCTTCAGCCCAGCGGGAGGGGGGCCCTAAGGGTGGGGTGGGGTGGGGGGCAACCTAAGGATTATATAGTGTCAGGAAAACAGGTTTGTCATTTTTTTGTGTGCAAATTTACACAGTTCATCCATCTCCCCAAAAATACATTGTATGCCTACAGTGTTAGTAAAATGTAATGACTTTCTTGTCATTTCATTATGTGGCAAAATGTTAAAAACAGCAAGGTACATGAAGTTTATTTATTAATAAATAAATGACAATAATAAAAAAGAAATTGGGTGGTTTTAATTTTAATTTCCATTGACTCACATTTAAAAGAGATACCTTCATTCATGAACAAATGATGAATGAAGCCATGTGCAAGAAGCTACGCCATAGTAGTTTTCATGAATAAAGCTAACTGTGCCCACTGCATGTTGCACAACCAGTGTCAGTTAGCTTCGTTCATGAAAAAAAATAATAAAACGATTTGTCTGCTACACCTGTCACCTTGCACAAATATCTTACTTTGTGTTCTAAGCTAATTGTGGGCTTTATAGGTCTCAGGAAGATGATGATAGCCTATTAAGTACTACGCAGCTTATTTACAAAGCAGCCATAGAAAGCAATGGGAGCACCAGGATTGACTGACGGATTATTCACTAACGTGAAAATTCTAATTATTGTTTATTAACACATTTAGAAAGTGGAGTAAACACCAGAATAGAGTGTCTTTTTACGGACTTCCTTCCAAGGGCTAATGCAAATCTGTTCTATTCTGACAGTCCTCGCTATAACTTTGTCACAAAGATGACTCTGTTACATGTAATATGTCACATTATAACACTTCTGTGGCCAGCCTGATGAATGTTTTTTTTGGAAAACTAAGCTATACATTTCGAGCAGTTTCAATAGCACAATAGATACATTTATTTGCAACTTAAAGTAAAAGTTCCATCATGCTCTGTATGTGGAATCCCTTTAAACCCACAGTATAGAGTTACTACTAAAGGCTAATAGTTTTTTGTTATAAGGGCTAATCATTCGTTCTTTTAACTAGACATTACTCATTCCCTGATAATGTCCCTTTAAATATGCAGCTGTTGTCAATGTAAAAAATATAATATACGGTAAACCAAGACACAGACCCAGTTCAAAATGGCCCTTTACCCGTTTTCCCAGACAGCCATAGGTTCCTGTGTTGTTTGGACTATAAGTTTAGATGTCAGAGGCATATAAAAGTTACATTCTGATGCACAAAATCAATTAATCATGGAAGGGCTCCATTAGGAACCTTCATGATTATTGTGTGATTTCTTATTTGAACTCCCGTGGCAATATAAGAATTCTATATACCTTACAGACAGCACTATTCATGTACCTCCCAACAACATGTGGAACTGGAAGCTGCTTAGAGGAAAATATGGCCAATGACCATGGTGGCAACTAGTCTAGCCTTGATAAAAAGCTGCAATGTCAGAGATTATATAACATGTTAAAGGGGCCTATACCAACATTGTGAGTACCCTTTTGTATTGAGCAATAAATTCACTTTAAAATAAACAAACATACATGTAAAAGGAGAAGCAGAGCCGGTCAGTTAATTTTTAACGTGTAAAACGTAGTATTTTTCCAAGGGAAAACCCTCTTTGTACTCATACGATGTACCTCCATGATATTAAATCATTGTTTACACTTGTTTTGTTCCGTGAGAGCATGGATATTTTATTCACATAGGCTACTCCTTAGATGCAACCTTCCGCCACTGATATAAATTTCCGTATTTTTCAATTTATTCAATGAGATGGGAGTACATTTGTTTTATCAATTTTTTTTTTTCCGGTGAGAATACTATGAAATTCCAGCAAGCAACAGCCTACAACAGAGATATATTTTCCTATTTAGTGATAATTCCCCCCTATAAAAAAAAAAATATTAAAAAAAAGCAAAACAAAAAAATAAACAAAACACACAAACGCCAGCAAATCCGTGTTTAATACACCAAGTCTAATATTTTTTACAAGGAAAAGTGAAGTCTAGTGGACTGTTTCCTGTATGCAATATATTCTATGCAACTCTGTTATAATGTTCTCGTCTCTCCTTCTTCCGATATAAAATGAAAAAAAAACGAAACCCCGTAACAAACAGAAATCCTTTTCGCGCAAATGAGCAGTTCTTGTTTCATGTGCATGTTTAATATGACTACCTGGCCAGATTGATTCCGTGCTTGCAAACATATTACTGGCTGCCTCTGTATCTAACTCTTTATTTTTTTAACTGTTTTGTTTTTTTTTCCCTCGATTATCATTGTGAATGAAATTGAAGACTGAGTTGATGAAAAAAAAAAACAAAGATAAATTATATTAAAGAGTTAATTTATTTCCCTTCATCTCTTCTTATTTCTCAGCCAATGTTGAAAAACCTTTAAGAACAACAGTCGTGACCCCTTACGGATCACAATCTGGTCTCTAAAGACCTTGTGCCAGTAATGATTCTCCTGCATGTTTGGCATTTGCAGTTCTGAACAGCCTTGCATTCATTAAATTATTGTAACGTTCCATTGTACCAAAGGACATTTAAAGGCTGCTTTATTGTAACCTATATTTACGTAATTGGCTCTTAAGGGGTTAAGGGCATGTTTTGATCAAATGCATTTAGCCCTTTGAGTGCCTAAGGGTCACCTCTCCGTTTAATCACGTGTAATATGTTGACCACAGAAACACGTGAGTGAGGAAACCTGAGGGGTTATCAAGTATACAAATGTGAAATGTTGGTTTGTTGTGTTCACACATTAGTTCAACTTAATACATATACACGATATAATAAGGGTAGTGAAAGAATCATAAGGTATTTAAATGCAACTACCATAACTTTTTTCACACGGATATCAAGTAATTGATAGAGAGTTGTGAGATATAAATTATCACCTGTTGGTCTTCTTGAGCTGTGAGATTACAAGAAATACAGAAGGTCTACATGGCAAGGACAGACAATGTACAGCTGTCTAAGTGTGGCCCATTTAGAATGTCTGATTGGGTCCTCGTGGGCGGATTCTGGAACTTTGAACTGTCAGAAAAGGAGTTGAGAGATGGTGTGTTTGTATTCAACCTGCAACAGTTTTGTTAGAAGGAAAGTGTCTTGCTGTGTGATCTGTGTGCGATGTTTTGTTACGCAATAACATATGCTGACTGGATTAGAATAACCTGATTTTAGCAGTACACGTATGAAAACATTTCATTATGGGTCTGTATGCAAGATTGCCAAATCCAACGTGTCAAAGGTGACATGTTTCAGAGAGCACACAAAACATGTCACCTTGTAATATATAGGATTAAGTTTGTGTAGTAAGGCTGTCAATAAGAAATCATTATAATTGATTAAAAACTGTGTGCTCAGTCGGAATAGGGTAAGTTAAAGGGGCAGTAAAGTAAATCACATGAATTGCTAATTTTAATAACTATACCAAAACAGACACATTTTATACCAAAAAAATCTGCTACATTCCTAATCTTCTACTTCTATGGAAATGTAGTGTATGCTTTATGTCTCAGACTGGGAATACACTAGACTTATTCGGTTATGCAAACCATGCATTCATGGGCAGTATTTTGATGTGACCGTTCAAATTATCAATTTTTATTTCTTTGTTCATTTTTTTTTTACTTTACTGTCCTTTTGAGGTGACTTTTTTTAAACTGCTTCTTATTATGTATCGATACAGACACATTTATTAAACTCAGAAAACCATCAATCATAAATGCTTCAGATATATTCGAGCTGTGAAAAAATAAGCAATTTATGCCAGATATATTTCTCTGTCCAGGTTGATCCACCAATGGTTTGATTCCACACATACAGGACTGGATTAACATAGGGGCTGATGGAGCTGCAGCTCCAGGCCCAGGCCCAGGCCCATGGAATAGGCCCATTTAAAAATATATATATATATATTTATATATATATTTTTTTTTTTTACACACTACTCTTAGGGTTGCCACCTGACTGGTATTTTAATGGCACAGATGGTATTTGAGGCTGCCTGGCCGTGCCGGTATTGCAGTAATACCGGCAATACAAATGCATGTAATTTTCTCAGAATAAATGGAAATTACTCTGCAATACCAGCACCGGCCAGTGTGTGGAGAGAGGCAGGGATAGGAAGTTACAGAATATCACTGCCTCTCTCTACTACTCACTGATCCATAGGGAAACAGCAACACAGCACAGAGAGTCCAGACAGCAGCTGTACAGCTCAGGTAAGTGAGGGATGGGGGGAAAGGCAGCAGGGACACATGGGGACACTGAGACACTAGGGGACACATGGGGACACTGAGACACTAGGGGACATATGGGGACACTGAGACACTAGGGGACAGACACTAGGGGACACTGAGACACTAGGACACAGACACTGGGAGACCTGGGAACACTGAGACACTTGGGGACACTGGAAAACATGGGGACACTGAGACACTAGGGGACACTGAGACACTTGGGGACACAGACACTAGGGGACACAGACACTAGGGGACACATGGGAAAACAGACACTGTGAGACCTGGGGACATAGACACTTGGGGACACTGGAAAACATGGGGACACTGAGACACTAGGACACATGGGGACATAGACACTTGGGGACACTGGAAAACATGGGGACACTGAGACACTAGGGGACACATGGGGATGCTGAGACACATGGGGACGCTGTGAGACATAGGGACATTGGGAGACATTGGGACACAGAGACACTATGTCCCCCAGCCAGTGTCCCTAGTGTCTCAGTGTCCCCAAGTCTCCCAGTGTCTGTGTCCCATGTCTCTCAGTGTGCCTAGTGTCCCCATGTGTCCCAATGTCCCCATGTCTATGTCCACAACTGTCCCCATGTCTCCCCAAGTGTCTGTCTCCCAGCCAGTGTCCCTTAGTCTCCCAGCCAGTGTCCCCTAGTCTCCCAGTGTCCCCTAGTCTCCCAGTGTCTGTGTCCCTAGTGTGTGCCTGGTGTCCCCACGTCTCCCAGTGTCCCTATATGTCCCAGTGTCCACATGTCTCTGTCCACAACTGTCCCCATGTCTCCCAGTGTCCCCAAGTGTCTGTCTCCCAGCCAGTGTCCCCTAGTCTCCCAGTGTCCACTAGTCTCCCAGTGTCTGTGTTCCCATGTCTGTGTCCCTAGTGTCTTAGTGTCCCCAAATGTTTCAGTGTCCCCATGTCTCCCAGTGTCTGTGTCCCTAGTGTCTCAGTGTCCCTATTTCTCCCAGTTTCCCTAAATGTCTCAGTGTCCCTATGTCTCCCAGTGTCTCCATGTCTCTGTGTCCCTGGGTCTCTCAGAGTCCCCATGTCTCTCAGTGTCCCCAGTATCCTAGTGACATGGGGACACACTGAGACATTGGGACACTGGGAGAAATGGGGACACAGACACTGGGAGACTAGGGGACTGGGTGACATGGGGACACTGACACTGTGATACATAGGGAGACTGAGACACTGGGTGACTTGCGAGACTGAGACACTGGGAGACAGGGAGACACTGGGAGCAATCCATCTATACAGCAGAATAAAACTGTGAGTAGTTTGTTGGTGATTTTACAGAATTTTCTCTGATGTCACTCCTTGTGATTTACATCATGTGATTTACACGCAAAACTAATTAATTATACAAATGATTAAGGCTGGTATTTTTTTCCAAGAAAGGTGGCAACTTTAACTACTCTTCACATACTCTTGCTTAAAGGAGCACTATAGTGTCAGGAACACAATCATGTATTTCTTACCCTATTATGTTAAAACCACCACCCTGCCCTTTCTTGCCTCCCTAAATATAGTAAAATATTACTTGTATTCAATTCTGCAGCTGCTGGCTCAGAAGTGGTGGTCTGAGCAAATTACAATACTTCCCCATAGGATTGGCTGAGACTGTCAACTAGGCAGATCAGGGGCAGAGCCAGCACAAGTCCAACATAGCCCTAGCCAATCAATGCATCTCAATGAGGAAAGTTCAGTGTCTGCATGCAGAGGGTGGAGACACTGAATGGCAGTGCTGCACACTAGGCAGTACTGCCCCAGGAAGCACCTCTAGCAGCCATCTAAGGAGCGGCCAGTGGAGTTATTTTCTCTGAAAAGACAGTGTTTACTGCAAAAAGCCTGAATGGAATTATTCTACTTACCAGAACAAATATAATAAGCTGTAGTTGTTGTGGTGACTATAGTGTCCCTTTAAGGTTGGAAGCTTGAGAGGGATGTATGGGAACAAAACTTGTGTGCACTGGCTGACATTAAAGTTAGTTTAGGTAATGCAGACGTTGGTCTCTCTAACACTGTGGCATGTCCCCTTTCTTCTAAACTCACTACAGACACCTTTTCTCTGTCTCAGACTATACCAGGAACTTCTGCCTGCTAGTAAGAAGGTAAGGAGACAAGTGGACCAGCGAGTGCTAGGGGACAGTCCTTAGAAAGAATGGAGTGAGCGCATCATTAGACGCATTTATGTCAAGCTCAAGGTGCTGCCTGCATAGTATGCCCTTAGTTGGACAGCCTGCAGGATTGGCAGGCAGCCTGACATGCATTCATGCCAGGCTGACCTTCCAATTCTTTGGACAAACATGCCCCCTTTTTGGGCATGTTCACCCCTTTTGGCAGGTCTTGTCACGTGATTTGCACCAGTGGCACACCCTTTTACCCCGCCCATTGACTTCCTGCTTCACTGGACACTGCTGTTAGGGGTTATGGATTTACTTGAAAGATGAAAGCATAAATTAGAGAGAAATTAGCATAGAGTATGTGTTTTCTTATAGCTGCATCCTATGAGTTTCCCTCCAGCACCATCTCCATCAGATACATGACGCTTGGGAGGTATGATTGTTTTAGTGTTTGTGGTCGATAAGATTCCGTAATTAGGCCCATCATAATTGTCAGCACCAGGCCCACTGTGCTCTTAATCCAGCCCTGCACACATACTTGTGTGTACCTAAGATAAACAAAGACATTTGCTGATGTGTTGTCACTGTTGTAGGCTTAATGCATTAACAAAGAGTTCACAAGGATTCAGAGAGTTAGATTTCGCATAACCAGCCACCAAGGTCCACCAGCTTGTCAAATATGTATTTATTCTTTTATGCAACAAAGTTCTCAATCTAATTCCACTCAAGTGTTCTCTAGGATAGAGTAAAGCTTATTAGATACCATAATCCTGCCATTTTGCTCTAATGTTCTACTTTCTTGTCATAACACCAGTAAATGGACAGAGCATGCAACCAAGATCAACCACTGAGCATGTGCATTTGACTAATAAATGGGTCGTATTCACTCTCACGACCATTATCACTGTTGGGAGATGTGCAATCTCTACTATTTAATCTGGAAAGTGTATCTATCCAAAGGTTATACACAACTTGTGTCACATCTAACATGGTCGCTCCACTGGTTCCCTGTGTCCTAATATTAACTATTAACATTTGATTGAGACAATGAGAGAGTGTCCATGGACACTTGTGGCATATAAACAGATGCTGTTTAACAAACAGTCCTTATGATGCTACAGGAAAAATGTATCAACTCTAGGTGTTATAAAAAGTAGCACCCTTTTGTAAAAGGGGAGGGGGCTCCAGAAGAATGCGCCTACAGGTGACATTGGTTTCCAAGGTGGTTACCCCAATTTTAAAATGTTTGGCCATTTGTTTCAGAACATGAAACTTTGAAAAATCTCTTTTTATATTGTCACACTACACCTGAAAATAATTGTCCTTTTCTGTAAAAGATATACTTTATACAATCTACATTTAGTTAATTACTGCTTTCTAAAGGTAAAACAAAATGTTATATATTTCCACTATTTGAGTCTTCTAAAAAAATATTAAGATGCTGCAGGACGCATATGCTTAAAAGTAGATATGTGTTTGTTTAAACCTTCTAGTGTTTCTGCAAATGAGGCATTTAAATAATTTAGTCATGCACAAGGCACATACAATCTTTACCTATATCCCTCAATTAAAAAGAACCTCAAAGTGTCTGGAATTGTTGATGTACATGTAAATATGTTGCATCTAGAGTTTTAAAACTGCTGAAAGAATACAGCAAATTAAATGTCTGAACAATGATTATGTTCGCTAAAGCTGTCTCCTAATTTAGTCTTCTACAATGCTCGAAATATAGAAATTAAATAAATAATGGGCTGGGTGGATATCCTTTTGGGTGTGAGCCAATGCGAACGTCCAAGAAGAACTGAGATGAGACATTGTGGGCCAAAGGGTAGACATCCACATGTTGCAGAACTCCTACACATATTGTGTTAACATCATTAAGTCTCTGCAAAAACTGGGGATCTTTATCATGTCCACTAGTACAATATACTTTTTGAGCCTAGTGAATGCCAAAATTTATAAATACTGAATAAAAAATATTTACCATATAGCTTGGTATCTTCAGACATATTTAAGTAATTATCTATCTATCTATCTAGATATATACTATCTATCTATATACTATCTATCTCACAGTCCATTATCTATCTGTCTATATACTATCTATCTCTCAGTCCATTATTTATCTATTTATCTATCTCTCAGTCCATTGTCTATCTATCTCTCCATCTATCTATATACTATCTATCTATCTCTCAGTCCATTATCTATCTAGCTATCTATCTATTTATCTATCTCTCAGTCCATTATCTATCTATTTATTTCTCCATCTATCTCTCAGTACATTATCTATCTATCTATCTATCTATATACTATCTATATACTATCTATCTATCTATCTCACAGTCCATATCTATCTGTCTACTATCTGTCTATCTATCTATCTATCTATCTATCTCTCAGTCCATTATCTATCTAGCTATCTATCTATTTATTTATCTCTCAGTCAGTCCATTACCTATCTATTTATCTCTCCATCTATCTCTCAGTCCATTATCTATCTAGCTGTCTATCTATTTATCTATCTCTCAGTCCATTATCTATCTATTTATCTCTCCATCTATCTCTCAGTCCATTATCTATCTATCTATCTATATACTATCTATCTATCTATCTATCTATCTATCTATCTATCTCACAGTCCATTATCTATCTGTCTACTATCTGTCTATCTATCTATCTATTTATCTATCTCTCAGTCCATTATCTATCTATCTATCTATCTATCTATCTATCTATATACTATCTATCTATCTCTCAGTCCATTATCTATCTATCTATCTATCTATCTATCTAGCTATCTCTTAGTCCATTATCTATCTATCTATCTCTCAGTCTATCATCTGTCTATCAATGCTTCTGTCTGTATGTTGGTTTTTGTCTATTTAGATAAATAAATATAGACACAGATGTATATCCTTGGACATATAAGAAAGTTAAAAAATAAAATCTTTCTTCCCTATATAAAGCAATAAGTATGTGTGTGTGCATAAATCAACGCAACTCACTCTCAGGTGAAAATTCCTTTTAAATACCTCAGTATATAATATGATTGTGTGTCTCATTCCATCTGATCCCCACTTCGTACACTAAAAGTGTTTGAAAATTTAAAAAATCCTGCAGAAACTGCTTCCACTATGTTTGTCAACTAGCTTGTACATTAGAGAGACAAACAGAAAGACAGATGGATCAAAGGACAGATGAAAGGCTAGACAGACAGATAAATAGAAATCATTTATAAATTTACGTATTTTGTATTTCAGAGAAACGTTTAGGTTTTAGTTTTATATCTAAATGTCCAGTATTTTTCTCCAAATTGGGAGATGGGTATAGAATGGAAAAATAATATTATTAGCATGTGTATAAATTGTAATTTCTTTATAAAAAATCCATTCCATGTTTCATAACTGGAATATACTGTATACGTGGCATATTGATATTGCATCCCAGTTTTGTATTGACCAAAATAGTGATGGTTCCTTGAATCTCCCTAATATATGTTTTGTGATCAAAGCGTTAACCACACACAGATAGGAGGAATGCAATTCAATACAAGTATGGCATGTTGAAACACGGGTGGAGGATAGGTGTCAATTGGACTGGGCATCTGTAGCACTATTATTATTATTATGTTATTATTTATATAGCGCCATCAAATTCTGCAGCGCTTTACAATGGGTGGACGAACAGACATGTAGTTGTAACCAGACAAGTTGGACACACAGGAACAGGGGGTTGAGGGCCCTGCTCAATGAGCTTACATGCTAGAGGGAGTGGGGTAAAATGACACAAAAGGTAAGGATAGTATTAGACTAGTGACAGTTGCAGAAGAGGAATCAGTCAGGAGCTATTAACAGTTTAATTGATACGCTTTTATGAAGAAGTGGGTTTTTAACAATTTTTTTGAAGGAGTGGAGACTGGGTGAGCATCCAACTGAGGATGGTAGTGAGTTCCACAGGAACGGTGCAGCCCTCGAGAAATCTTGAAGGCGAGCATCAGAGGTGGGAGTACGGACAGAAGATAGACGTAAGTCTTCACTATGCCCATATGCCACCCCTAGCCCTCATATAATTTTTTTTGTTTGTCATCATAGCTTGGATTGTTTCTCCTCAGTTTCACATGTTTCCCGCATTATGACCCATCCATTGATCTATGCGGCTGACAACTTCTAGTTTGTATGGGCCAATTGAAACATGAAAACTGCTCTGCAAATGCATTATCAATCCAATATTGTATTGATAAACACAGTAATTAATGTTGCTACCATGTTGTTACCATCATATTTTTATACCAAAGAAATTGCATTGGCAGGATCCAGGCAATCGAATAATCCAGGTGATCTTATTGGCAGATATTTCTGAAATTTGTTTTGAAGTTGACTTCAATGAATACATGAGTTGGCAATTAATTTGGAAGACACAAAATGTTCACTAGGACTAAAAAAAACCCTAGGATCCAATTAAAATAAAGAGTTACAATAAAGAAAATTTGAAAAATAGTCAAGGCTGACTAATGTGTCTTAATTATTAGCCCGGATTAATTTAACTTTATTGTCTTGATTATAGTATAGATTTAGTTGCCGAAGACCCGGATCGTCAATGGGCTTTCAGACGCTAATTATTACATCTCAGATGTACACTCTAGAATTATCACCATGAAAATTAACTGCAATTACCCGGCTCACTCAATTTGGATCAGTGAATGCAAACTACGGTGGTACATCCACAAAGTTACTCATATAAAGGCATCATCAAAATCATTTTGGTTCCAATGAACTTCCCCTTGGTGAAATCCTAAGCCAAATGTTTTCTCATGTCAAAAAGTGACTCAATTATGGGAAAACAAGAATCCTCAGTAATTAGTGATTTTACTAACTTATATATGTAAAGATATATGAATTTTAGCAGTATCAAAAATAGGATGGTTTGTCCACTCCCATCCATTAAATAAATACAGAAGAAGCCGATCGGAATGTAGAATTATTTAACTCAGTGAAATATGCATTAACCTTATAGTTATAGACCTTCAGAAATATAGGTTCTAACTATGAACCAATACTTGTGCCAGTCACCTAATGCAAATCCTTTTTTTCAGTTTTTTATGTACCATGGTTGTGCTTTACCGGTGTACGTAATACAGAGGGTTAGAGCTTATTTGGTTATATGCGTAAATATAGGACAAAATTCACAAATCTATTTTGAATAGCGAACATATTAGTGTGAATAAGTGAAGAAACCCCAGAGACTGACTTTTAGTTACTGTCCAGTCAAAATGGTAACCAGTATTAAAAGTCTCATCATGACCATCAGTTGAATGTTTATCGGACAGGATAGTAAATACCTATAAACAAGTAAGGTGAAACAATGCATTTACCATTTAACAGCAATAAAATATTGTACGTGCTAACAGCACCACCAAAGGATTGCTAATTCCCCATCAATGTTCTGCAGAAAGTAAAATATGGGACTGTCAGTGAATTAGCAACTGAATTAAACAATTTAGGCCAAAGTAGTAAGGTTGGAAGAAGGCTGTTTTGGCCTGCATTTTGCAATTCAGTGTTGAAATTATTGTCTGGCACATGCAACTAACAGGACGTATATCTCCATCTGTTGTAGAACAATTCCATGGTGGTCTGTGATCCAACAAGTTGACAAAGTATCATTAAAGTTTGCCCTCCAGCCACCAGCTTGAAACACATTAAAGTATTTAACATTCTATTACAAGAGACCTACCTGTTAGCAACTCCTAGTATAGTCGGTGTGGCCTTTTACAAACCAGTAGCACAAATGCAATCTAAATAGCATCACATGAATTATGAGGGTGTTACATAGGCAGAGACTTTGATGTCTCTTTAACTGATTAAACAATTTTTTTTTAACTATGTCAATACAAACAGAGTTACTCTCTAAATTGATAATAATCTGGAAATTTCTAAGAAATTGTAGAGTTTAGTAACCAATATGGAAAAATTCTGCAGCTCAGTTTACTTCTAGGCTACTTTGGCCTAAAATGTGCAATTCTCTGGTCCTCTCCTGACATTTCTTGGTCTTGTGAATAGACATGAAGAATGGATTGACTCAATTCTGGGAAAACAAGAATCCTCATTAGTTAGTTATATTACTAACTTTGACGCTAATGTTAAGACACGTGAACATGTGAAGATTTGGCAAGGAGCTATTTCTCCTAATCTGTCCATCTGGTAGCAGAACACAATGTATAGATAGAATTTCATTAAATTTCATAAAAAATTAATTTCTGTCGCCATCCATTTTCACTTATAACGTTATGGCACATACTTAAAAACCCAGAAAACGATTAATGAAAACATGTATCTTGCTTTTTAGAAAAGCCATTGTTAAGATTGTCAGATTACTGTTTATTTAACAAGTTACGTGCAATATTATTACAAATTAAGATTTATCTATATATTTTAATATTTTATAACAGCACTCAAACTACCTCAGATGTTGTCTGCCATAAAGACAGTGACTGCATCCATCAACTTTATTTTGCGTATTGTTTCACACACCGGGATTGAATCAGAAGATTGTATCATTGACTATAAAAGTATTGTTTTCACATAATGCCAGGGCTTTCAGCTCAACTCCCTTTTACTCTGCATTTTTACATATTTCTCGCTTAAAACAGTCGATTAGTCATGCACTAAAAGTGGAATACAAAAAGAAAATTGCTTAACTTCTGCATAGAACGCACAGTTTAAACTATCCTAGTTCTGACAGTGAATAGTTATATGGTATCTGTCATCGTTACAAAAGCTTATTAAAAACAATTAAAGGTTATGTGATGCAGTAAATTGACCTGGGTATGTAACTCATTTGTATATTACTCATATTACGTACATATCAGAGGTAGTGTCCGATAATAGCCATTCCAGACATGTCTAATATTATAATAATATGGTTTGTTTAAATAAGGTAAATCAATACCTTGCTCATAAAGCTTATAAAATTAATTCTGCAAAATCCTTACTGAGTATTTTTTCTAAAGGCAGTTGTGACATCAGATTGAATTTTCTTTACACTAAACATAAATGCAAATTTTAACCGCAGGTAAAAAATAAAATAAAAAATAAAATAACTAATTGCTTAGTGTAGAGTTATAAAATAATCCCAACATTAATCAATAAAGTAGCAATTCAAATTAAATTTAGAATTTAAGAGCCCAATATCCGCTGGAAAATTGTGCCAATTTGGGTATGGCGGCTTAAAATTTAAATTCACTTTAAATCCATACTGAACCCTGAGTGTCTTTTTAAATTTCTCAACTGTTTTGCAATTTCTTTCCAGATATAGATATATTTCTTATCTTATAGTCTGAGGTCTTCCCTTCCCTTTGTATGTTTTGCAGTCAACGGATGGTGAAGCGTTAGTGGTTTATTTAATATCACAAGCTGTAAGCCAAAAATAGCCCCCCAAAAAATAGCATTTTCTGTAAACCTAAAAGAATTTTAATTTCACAGGTGGGTGATTTTATTATGTTGAAAGATTTGGTACATGCCAGTTCTCCCTGTGTTAATAAATGCAGTGCATTTATTATCTGTAAATACTATGTCACTTGAAAATGTATATAATCGTCCACGTATTAATGATTCAGCTTATAGATTTAAAATATTATATAAAAATATAGATAAATAAATTAAAATCACCAAACTCTTGTCCAGTTTGTCTAGCTGCAATTACTGGTTTGTTTGCACGCCCAATGTTCAACACTGATCAATATGTGGGGATCATGAAATAAATTACAATAATATCAATAATAAAAGATACAGAAGATCACAAACAATCAAACATTATTTTGGCATTCTCGCGTTAACACCCTCACTAACCTTCACTAGCAATATCTTTTATTTTCTACTTTTGTTGGGCATTATAAAGCAACGTAAAATGATATTTAAATATTTAGTTGATAAATCCCTTTCCTCCCACCCAGTATAGGAAGATACAAAGAACAAAACGTTATTTCTGCATTATTACAGTCAGGGAGGGGTAGGAGGGAGTGGGGTCTCTCATGTCACTCAGAGCAATTAGAGATTAATGCAGGCTGCTATAGCATTTTGCAAATCCCTCTATTTTACAAACAGTTGATTTAATTGTAGTCAACACTTTTATGCGTTTTTGGAAAGCCTGATATAAAATAATATTATTAAGGTCCTTACAAATGCCTGAACTTAACATGGTTTATCTATCTATTTTTTATTTCACCAATTGTATTCAACAAAATAGTATTTTTCCTTCTATGCCAATAGCCCAGATCCTGTGAAAAATATTGGTACGGTGGAGGATCCATTTAGTGTTTCACCCCCAAATATGTCTGTAAGGAATTAACAAAAAAATAAAATTTCAATTATGCAAACTTTGATGATGTTATTCTCATGTATCTCTGATCAGTAATTTATACACACACTGGATGCTTTATCCTACATATATGTGCTAGCTGTGTATCCCATCTCTCAACAACATGCTATGCTAACATTTTTAAAACAAATGCTTAGTAGTGAAGGGCTTAAAATATCTATGTATTGATAATAAATATAAACAATTACATTAGATGAAATGTATGTCTCGGCCCAAATACAGAACATGTATGATCGGGTGTATACATGTCGAGCAGGGGTGTCAGATATATGTTTTCTGCAAGTAGGGCAGGCAGTTTCGAACTTTGGTTTCTCAGATGTTTGGTTACGATTTATAGAATTTTATGACACCAACTCAAACAGAGAATCATGGTAAATGTAGAGCAACAGTAACTTGAGTTCAATGCTGAGCCCTCCATCTAATAAAGACTATTTTCTGTAGTAGTCATACAGACTTCTTAATGCTAAGATCATCAACAATGGGTTTTTTTTCTGCTGCCTTAGAACATTAGTTATTGATCTGCTGAATGTTAAACGTAGTTGTAAAAGAATTATCAACACCATCTGTGTTCTCGTAAGCCCCAAATGACATTGACCTAGTGCAACATTTTCTTGAGGGATGCAAGAGTGTTGCACAATTTATATCTTCTCAATTTCACCCATATCTGCTCATGTTCTGCTCACGAACATTTATGTAGAAATGTTCTTCCATGTGTTCTTGCTGGCCAAAGCAGAATTAACCACAGGGTGATCATAGGTGGCCGCCTAAGGCCGAGGGTTAAGACAGGGGCACCAGAACCATGAATTTGCTTGGTCCCATTCACCATCCTTATGTGAAGAATGAAGGGGCCCCAAACCAGTAACCTCCGTAGGGCCCTCTAGGGATCTTAATCTTTCTCTGGTGGTGACAGGGAGAAGTAGTGGAAGCTTAAGACAACTAAAGAAGAAAGTCTAGCTTTGGTTGGGATTTAACCAGCTTAAAACAGTTTTTTGTATTTCATTATCTGTTTCTGGTTCCTAGCCTTCAATGCAATACGTATGTTGGGGATTAAAGGTTCCTCATCATCGAGATGATGCAGGAAATCAAAATTATCCATAAAGAGTCTCATGTAAATAGGTTAAACAATGCCTAATGTTCTCAAACCAGCGTTAACCCACATCAGAATACATTACCCAGTAGATGTGTGTTCTGAGCTTGTGGTGTAAATAAGGCAAAAAACACGGAAAACTGAAGACGCTCGAAATGTGTTTACGGTTCGGACTCCTTGCCTCAACATTAATGATATTGCTTCCGATAACAGCAAGGATGCTAGTTTTTTATGAAAAATTAAAATGTGATTAAAAATGTGATTATAAAAAAAATAGCTATTTTGCAGATGTATGTGAAAATATTGAAACTATTTTGTATACACTATAATATGTAATGGTATGTACGCACATGCACATTTTACAGACGCAAAGTCTCTGAGTTACTTATTTAGGATCATTTTATCTGTTTTCTAGTTTCTTGTGGAGTCATGAGAATTTCAGTTTAATGTTCTTTTTCCGTGCATTACGAAGTTAATGCATTTAGTGCTTACCGTATATACTCGAGTATAAGCCGAGTTTTTCGGCACATTTTTTGTGCTGAAAAACCCCAACTCGGCTTATACTCGAGTCAGTCTGTATTATGGCAATTTACATTGCCATAATACAGACTGGGGGCTGGCAGAGCTGTTACTTACCTCTCCTGCAGCTCCTGCCAGCTCTCTCCTCCTCCGCGCCGGTCCGTGCAGCTCTTTCTTTCAGCTCACACTGTAAGTCTCGCGAGAGCCGCACTATGACCCCGCAGCTCTCGCGAGACTTACACTGGGAGCTGACCGAGGTGCTGACCGGACCTGCGCGGAGGAGGAGAGAGCTGGCAGGAGCTGCAGGAGAGGTAAGTAACAGCTCTGCCAGTCCCCCTCCTCCCTCCACTGAACTGCCAATGCCACTGGACCACCAGGGAAGGAGAGCCCCCCTCCCTGCCATGTATCAAGCAGGGAGGGGGGACAAAAATAAATAAATATAATAATAAAATATTAAAAATAATAATAAAATAAAAAATAATAACAAAATATTAATAAAACAAAAAAATTATTAAAATAATTTAAAAAAATAATAATAAAAATGCCCACCCCCCACCAAGGCTCTGCAACACACACAAACACACTGCACTCATACACACACACACTGCACTCATACACACACACTGCACTCATACACACACACTGCATTCATACACACACACTGCACTCACACACACACACTGCATTCACACACACACACTGCATTCATACACACACTGCACTCATACACACACACTGCACTCATATACACACACTGCACTCATACACACACACTGCACTCATACACACACTGCATTCATTATATACACACACTGTAAATAAATATTCAATTAATATAATTTTTTTAGGATCTAATTTTATTTAGAAATTTACCAGTAGCTGCATTTCCCACCCTAGTCTTATACTCGAGTCAATACGTTTTCCCAGTTTTTTGGGGTAAAATTAGGGGCCTCGGCTTATATTCGGGTCGGCTTATACTCGAGTATATACGGTAAATGACCTGCGATGCTTTACTCTGTAATGCTAATTCTGTGCTGATATTTAAAATGAAGATTTCAATTGAAAGGCAATTTAATTCACTATGAGTTAAAATATTTATTTTCTTTATATACCGTCTGTATATGGACAAACTACAATATATATAGCTATAGGAAATTGCATGTGCTATTTTTCAACCAGTTGTGGCTGAACAAGAAATTTGGAACAGAGTGACATATTTTATCATGGGCTGTGATGGATAACCTATACACCCCATATATTCCCCACGATGCACAGCTACCTTAAACCTTGGGGTGCCATGGTTGGCCAAAATTGTCCTAAGGAAGTGGTAGGCAGCATGTTGTGAACTTTATCTCCCCCGAGGTTTTGCCAGCATTATGGCTGTAACAGCATTATGGGAGATGAATTCCACAACATCTGGAGTACCGAATGTCGCCTAACCCCGTCTAAAAACACACCACTAACATTACTGTGAAGTTACATCTAATGTGAGATTTATTAATTGAACAATAAATTGCGGGGAACATATTTGGCAACATTTAGACTCAAAGCTGCAGTGGAATTATAGCTAAAATAAAAAGTTGGACATTTCGTCTAACCCTTAAAATTTTATTTTGCCAGTTTGGTTTACAATTCATTGTTCAGTTAACTTGTTCTGCATTTTGTGACAAATGAAAACAAATATAAATTGGGGACAGCAGCAAAAAGAACAAAATTAAATATGTTTCGGGGCTCCCGGTAAAATAAAGCACATACTATTTTTATATATAATGTCACACAATGGAAACATTTACTCCAATATTTTTAAATTTGTGTATGTGTAAGGTTTTTTTAATATTACTGCACTGCAAGTTAGAGAAGGTAATGCTCTTATCTTGGTCTGTCTGTTATGGCAGTTTTCAAGTGTACACCATAATAAAAATAAATATATATATTGTATTTCTAGAATTTGCAAGGGCTAATCGCAGGGTATAAAACCTTCAAGGTTCATACATATTCTTCATGACTTTAGCACTATTGGTGATGGAAGAAAAAATTATTTACTTAGGCTTTTTAATTACCCCATTCGATTTTGTCCTAGTTTTATTTTATTTTTTTATTTCTTGCGCAAGAATGAGGTATAATGCTCTTTCAGAAATTTAGTTATTAGTTAAAAAGCAAACAGTTAATATGCAATACAACAGCCAGAGCTTTCATAAGTTACATAATAATCTCATTTGAAAAAAAGACTCAAGTTGATTGAGTTCCAATTTTAAAACATCTTTTTAAGCTGTTGATCGAAAAGAAGAAAAAAAAATGTTGTACTGTTGTTTTATATAGAGGCAAAATGATATTTTTTTATGATGAAGTTCAATTATGTTTTGTTTTGGCATACTTTCCAACAGCCCCGGATCTACTAAGACTGTCCAAATTTAGGACCCCTGCCTTCCCAGTGATTCCCAGGCATGGGGCACAAAAGAAATATTCCCAGAGGATTTAGCACAAAAGTTTAATTAAACTACCTGCACCTGAATGCAGCTAATGTTTGCCCATGTGAGAGTGCTTTTAAAATGCTTTCTGTATGGGCAAATCTGGCTGCTTGTTAAGGCTATTTGTGAAAGGCTAATTCAGAACCCAAATTTTCTGGACTGACATGCTTCCTTTTCGGGAGCACATGCTCCCACATGTCACCAGTTAGACATATTGCAAGACTGGAATGCTCTACTCTGGCCCATTCTCGTCCCCTTTTTACCAATGTCATACCCCTTGATGATGTGATCTATGCATTTGTAAATGGGTTATAATGAATTGAACACCATCTTTTAAAATACAGGCTTGTTGTAAATATGTCCCTCGAAATAAAGTTTATTGTTTTCAAATTGAAGCTATTAAAAAAATAATCTTTATTAAAAAAAAAAAATCCTCCCATAGGAACAAGTCTGCAAACTGTGGTTTAAAAAACAACAACCCTGCTCTCTATCTAATACTTTAGTGCTGGACCCTTCATAAAAAAAATAGCTGAGATGAGCAAGCTGAAAGTTATTTTAAAAGCAGAAATTTGGGGCGGAGCTTGACCGCGAGCCGGAGCAGTCACCGTTCTGTACCGCTCCGTGTCACCAGCTGACAAAAAGCTTGGTTAATGAAGTCCGAGATCCTCAAACACCCAACACCCGGCTACCGTTACACAGAGTGTACCACGCAAAAGCAACATATGCCGTTTGTACAGCCTGCTAAGGTGAAACAACAGAAACGTTGACTTGGGGCCTACAGACCCACGCCGAGCCTAGATTGGTCGGAACTGTTGTGCGGCATCGAGCCCCCTGGGGAACGGGAGGCGGAAGATTAGCCTGCAGCTCTCTCACCTGACCCTGCTTCGATGGGGCGATGGACCCAAAAGCCACCCCTGGAGTCACCTTCAGGATCCAGGCACATAGGGACACTTCTACTGCAACCATCACCATCCAAAATGGCGGGAACTGCATAACACGAATCCACAAAGGTACAATCAGACTCCATGCAGCCTGACTCACCTCCAGAGCAGGCTCAACCCTCCACAGGGGACTCAGATGGGTCAGCACCAATTACACAACGGGATTTCCGCAACTTGGTTGCAGACAGCAAAAAGGAATATACAAAAGAAGGAAACAGCACTAAAATAAACCAATCCTATAAATAGGTAAAGTAGGAGGCATCAATCTAAAAATAGGGTTCCCTCTAGGCCCTTTAGACAAAGGTAATACACAAGACAAGACAGAAGAAGGTTGCGCCAAAGCTGACTATAGTATAGCTAAAATGAACAAAGTCCAAAGTGTAAGTGGTGCCAAAACAAAGTCTTTAGTTGGGCCTGATGGGGCACCGAAGGCCTATGTGGAGGAGTATTCTCTATACGGATCACGTGAAGACGGCTTTCCAGGATCCGTATGTAAAGAGAGAAACAAATAATAGTGCAAATACATCTGATAAAAGGGTTGGTATGCAGGAAGAAGAGATCTATGGTAATCCTACTCACGTTTAGTAGAGCTAAACTAGCTCTAGTGTGGATGGCATACAGCGGTACAATCCCTGCTTATAGCATACGTAGAGAAGTATTGGTCTTTTACTCCGTATGTGGAAAAAAATTCAAAAAAATAAAGGTATTTTGGCTACTTTTAAATCACTCTGATTGTGCCATTTTATTATTTTATTTATTATTTTTGCTTGGTATCCTGATTTTATTTTTCCTGCTGAATATTACTCCAAAGACATTCGAGGTGGGGATTATACCACTAATGTCTGAGTCATTGAGCAGTCCGCCTGCTCAATCCTATTTGTCTCTCTTCTCTCTTATGATCTATATATCGGTAAAAGACTTAACCCTCTACATGTATCCTACAAGCGGGGATTATACCGCTGTACGCTATTCATACTAGAGCTGGCTTAAGCTCTACTAAACATGATTAGGACTATATTAGACTCTTTACCAGACGTACTGCCCTATCATCTGTCTTTTTCTTCCACATACATAGTATGTGAAGACTGTTTAAACAGATATGCACCTATTTAAGCTTTGGCAGAAACATCTAAAAATATACTTGAAAATCACTTGTTTCAACTCACTAGTTACCATTTTCAATTTTTTTTCGATAAAATAATTTCATCTCCTATAAATGAACTATGTTTGTTATAAAAAACAATGCACAGACGTATTATTTGTGTGGAGACCTATTTGTAAATCATTGATATATATCTATATATTAACACATGTCTACTAGGCACTTTTCTTGCAATATCTACTCCCAGTTTCAATTAATTAGCCTTGTAGCTTATTTTTTAAGTTTGATTCATTAAAAAAAATTGAGTTGGACTATAGAAACCTTATTTTATGCAAGGCAAGATTGTCCACCATCTACGTTACTATATTAATATAACAGAAACCTCTCTTTAAATGGTTGCTCCTCTCAGGTATAGCTGATATATCATGGTATTTCTGATAATTATAGCATTAAACACCTTATTTGATATATATGCATGTTTGACTTATAATTTCCTGGCAGTAATGAACCATTCATTTCGGGGGTTAGGCCTCAGGCAATATCATGCAAACTTGAAAAAATAAATTTTTCTTGTAGTTTCATTAACATCCACTGAAAAACTTATATCACATAAGGTTTCCTGAAAATGAAAGTAATGTCAAATCTTAAAAAAAAAATTAAAATTAAAAATCAGCAACTTGTTCTTTGGGTGTTCTTGCTCAAATATTTAAATGATGCATAATTTTAGAATCTATGATTTATCTTACATCTTGTGTTGGATTCATTTATGGCACTCAAAGGGTTAAAGGAGAAAAAACCCTGCATGAATATTAACTGATTATCCAATTATTATATCTTTAGTAATTGTTTAGTGACTTGGTTATTTATAGTATTCAAATTTAAAGTAGCTAGAACTTTTGCATTTACGCAAAGTTGACTTCTGGAATAAACTGGCAAGTTATTCCTAAATTGTGTGCACTAAATACTCTCAACAGCTGTAAAGTATGCTCATATATTCTTTGGAAGAAAAGGGCTATAAAACGATTCTGTCACATATCATAATTTACTATGAGTTGAATTGATGAAATAATGTTATGTAACTTCTTAACGGAATTTAGTCATTATCACCAAATAATTTGTTGTGCCACTAACATTGTTAAATATGCTAAAACACAAATTAAGCCTTGAAAAGGGCACACTTATTCTTTACAGAAGTATATATCTAAAAGAAAATTCTGATATACCTGAAAAAGTTTGCTTCTTCCCACAAATGCAGTTTATGTGAAATTACAAAAAGTAAGTAAATTATTGATTCGCCTACTTACTCTTGCAATCTCCACAGAAATGGTTAAAAATATTGCATATTTTTGGATTTTATGATCATTTCACATCTTAGAGAATTCAAATCCAAATAATAACATGATATGGCAACAAATATTTTGTGTATTTGGAATAGTTTTGGGGGCCACTAAATGTACAAGTAAATCTGATATGGCATATAAAATACTTTCTTTATGATGAGTTGGTTAGAGAAATACTAAATAAAATAGATGCAGTTATTGCACACGAACCTAAGCATGAAGTTTAAAAATCACAAATTAATATTAAATTGTATTTGTTTTTATACCACATTCTGCTACAAATACGTTTTCTACAAGCAGTCAGCAAAGAAGAGCTCTGATTGGCTGCCAGGTGAATGACATGTCAACTTACCTTAACAGGAAAAATATTATACTGCCTTCATTTTACCTTGTACGGAAGTGGAAGGAAATTTGGAAAATTTATATGGAGTTTATTCTCTAGAGGAGGAAGTGTGGATAATTGACAATTTCAAATTTTAGCCCTGAAACAAAATAGAATTTTTACAACTGCCAGTTAAATGAATATATCTGTATTTAATCAATATCTAAAATAAATATTCTACCAAAATATTTGCCTTTTCAGCTCAGCAAATTTTGCACAAGTTTCCATCCCAAAACGTTGCATTAGATTTATTACTGGTCTCTTAAGTAAAGAAATAGTTTTATAAGAGGCTGACACTATTGAATCTTTTCCTGAGAAGGAGGAAAATGAACATAATTACATTCAAATATTAGTTTTTTGTTTTCCATATTTCAATTGTTGTTTTATCATTTGTTTGTTTAATTTGCCTTTTAAACAATGGTGCTAAAATGACGTATTTAATAAAATCTAGATCTTTACTTCTCAATTTCAAGTTGCAGAATGAAATACTAAAAATAATGCAAAGAGTGAACAGTGAAAAAATTGTGATAAAATTTATTCCTGAATTTCCTAAAAATAATCGTGTTTTTATTTTTGTTTCATTAATGGGAGTAGGACAACTCCTGGAATTTTTGCTTTTGTGTTTTGCTTTGTTTTGTTTTGGGGTTGGGTTGTTTGTGTTTTCTGTCCCGATGTAAATTGTTTGTTAAGCAAAGCTTGTTCTTCCTTTTTCCTTCTATGTCATCTGATTACAAAAAACTTTGAAGTTTAGAATTGCAGGAAACGTATGCATGAATCTGAACATGCAGGGAGTTAACTGCATGAAATAAATGTTCCTTTTTTAATTGACATTTTCACCGGAGGAGGCTGTGTTGTGATTTTTTTTTGTGTGTGCTGTGTCTTTAATCTTAATTGTCTGTGATCTGCATCGGATGATGAAACCTGGAAATGTACACACATCTGTAGATCACGACTACCCACAGAGTAATCACCAACACATAATACGACACAGACCCAACTGACAACAGGTGGTACAGAGTGATTTATTGACTTGTTTGGGGGGGATCAAGGCAAAATCTGCTGTTATCGACGCAAACATTTAACATTTAATTGGTTTCCATGGCGATTGCTCTTTATTTAGCACTTTGGCCTGAATAGCATCTGCTGTTTCCTTGATGAATCTCTCTCTTCTTGCAAAACTGGTGATGAAATGGTATTGGTGTTTGGATTGGACCTTTGCAACCCAGAAATGAACAGTAGCAATGGGGAGCAAGCGCACTCTAGATACAATGTAAGTGAAAGATGTATTACTAAAACTATGTAAAAAGACAACTTTAGGGCAAAAGATACAGGGTTCAGAGATGATGTGTAGCAATACACACAATACAATATAAATGATGGAAGGTTATCAGTACAACAGTGTATTAAAAATATGAATGTGTCGCGGTTAGGTCATACACAGCAGACTGGGACATTAATACGCAAGAACGGCCGAGTATGCCTCATTATTCTTATGATGCTTTTGTTAAAAGTCTCTGCAGTCGTAGAATTTTCTATTCTGGCTGAATCTCGATATACTATCTCATGTTATCATTTTATAAACACAGAACCAGGCTTTCGCTGACCGATGGAGGGTTATGGCAGTTAGTCAACGTAGCTTATGAAAACCCTAGAAATTGATGGAGAAACAGGTTGAGAGATGTTTTAGTAGAATTCAGGGATACATACATAGGGCTATTCATTAACATGTGAACTGCTGAGAATTAAAAGTCAATTTTAAAATTTGTTAAAACAATTTCTAAAATTCTTTGAATTCACTCTTAATTCTGAATGATTCACCTACCCTGAGTATCCTCCATATTTAACAAGTATTTGCTTGTGAGACCTCCATCATAGCTTTCTATCAATCAATGTTATATAAGCTCTGTACTTAACACGTAGCAGTCTCCATCAATAAAGCATAGGGAAAGTGTCAAGGCAGGTAAACATGCAAACCTAAGGTTCAGTGTCCTATTATAAAGAAAGAGAATGTATTACCAATCCATGAAGGTTTAATGTGGAGGGGTTATAACCTGTAGTGGGACAGAGGGCTATGGGGTGTAGTGGGGTAGGGGGTGATTAGGGGATGTAATTGGGAATTTAGAGGCTGTAGTTAGGGATGGGGGCTCTAGTGAGTGATGTGGGCTGTAGTGGGGGGTAGGACAGGGGCTGTAGTGGGGGAATAGAACTGTAGTGGGTGGTTAAGTGGTGTAATTGGGGAGTTAGGGGCTGTCATGGGGGATAGAGGCTGGAAAGAAAATATTTTTAATTTAAAAACAAAAAACTGAATAAACTAATGTTTCTTGCCCTCTCCCTGATGCTTACTTTAGGGCAGGTAGTTTGAATCCTGATCCATGGTGGTCGATGGGTGCAGACAGCTCCTTCTGGTCAGCGTTGCCATGGTAAACCGCAGGAATGGTCTGATATTGTAGAAGAGAGAACTTGGTTTGTACCCACAGGACGTTCAGCCCAGGTTCTCCTTCCCACCCCTGGCAACAAGGTGACCTGTGGAGCTTTCTCTCTGATGTAGCTCCTTCCCCTGGCAGTTCCAACTTGGCTTTGTGAAAACTGTCCTGGTGCCTTCCCCCTAGATCCGACCCTGATCTGAGTTCAAGATAGAAAATACATGTTTAATGTATTAAAGCTGAACAACACACATACAGAACTCTACAGAAAAATCAAACTGAAGCAAAGTCTGATTAATTTCGAAGAACATCCCAATCATAAGGTTTGGTATTTGTAGAACAATGTGTAATGTACCAATGGATGATATTAAAACTAGATTTGTATTAAATATAACGGAAAGTTTATTAAAGGAACTTAATTGTCATGTGTGCTTTAATAATTTTAAATGTTAGAAATACAAACCTGAACTCCTAACACTATAATGTCCCTATCTAGTTTAGTAACCCCGCCCCCCCAACTCCCATTTGCCATAAAATTAAGAAAATAATTTTACTGACTTATGACTAGGCCGAGGCATGGTCTCCTCCAGTGATGATCCAATACTACGTTTTTATAGCATTGGGTACTTGATGCATATTTGAAGCGAGGGAATTTATTGCTTCTTATAGGGCTATCCTGGAAGCACCTCTAGTGACTGTAATGAAGACAACATCTAGAGAAATGTTTAAAGCTGCAATGTAAACATTTTCTACATTGAAGGGTTACAATGATGGGACCACAACACACAGAACCCTTCTTTGAGATAAAGTGGTCTGGGTGACTTTAGTTGTATTTTAGATTACTGGACCCCCTTTAAAAAAAACTGTATTTGTAATCCAACACTGATACAAATCAACCCTCGGTGAAGTCATCAAGCCTGATTACTATTTTCAAAGCAATTGCTTCCTTAGAGTGTAAATTGGTTCATTCTGAATGTAATGGCAATTCTCGAAGTCTGTCAGCCCAAGGGAAACTGCAGCAATTGCCTGGATGAACTTGAAACAAATAATGGTAGTTGGACAGATCACTATCTTTCCCCCTACATTTGCTTGTGGGGCTATTTTTTAATTTTTTTAAAGGGGAGGGGGTGTATACTAATGCCTTCCCTGCCCTCACTTTTGATCAGCAGTTGGTGCTATTTGGGAAAAAGCCTGGTGTCCTCCCTGGCCCCAACACATTGGCAGTGGGTAGGAGCCCTAATTATAATATCCTGGAGATGAATCCAGTGGACTGTGTGTGGGGGGGGGGGGGGCTTTAAGTAAATATACAATGCTGTTGTCCACCACCCACCAATTAGTGGCATGGCTAACCCGCTACCTCCCTCCATTGAAATTAAGTAGCTCTATCTACCCCCACACCAAAGTAATAGTCAAGGGGGGTGAGGGGGCATTAAAACCTGTAAAATAAACAATTGCGTATCATCAGAGATCTTCTTTTCTTTAGTCCCAAACAATGCCAAATTGAAATCTAGAATTCCCAACTCAAAAACACGATTCACAACAAAAAGAATGATGAAAAAAAAAAATCAAAAACACAACACAATAAAAATAATCCATCTTCTCCTCACAAGAGCTTGGTGCAGTCTGAGCTTACATGGTGGAGAAAGCCCTTATAAGAACTTTCCCGCACTATGTAAGCTTAGTCAAAGTCCTTTCCACTCTATGCAATATCAAACAGAGTGTTCTGATAGGTTGGCTGGTAAAACCTGAACTGCAAAATCTGAACATTGTTTAATAACGTGAACAATGTCCGGCTTTTGCAGTTTAAATTCACAATTTAAGTCAATAATCCTGATAGTCTAGATTGCACCATTGAATTTATTTTAATTCAAACTACCTAATAGTTGTCTAATTGAAAACAGTGAACTAGAGTGGTTATGATGCCAGAGCATCCTGTTGCCATTCATAATAGTTTGCCTCTTACCTGGTTCCACCCCGGGTACGAAACCTCCCCTGATGGCCACCAACTGGCATTTATCTTCTGCATAACTGCAAAAGCCAGATAATGGTCCGGCAGTTCATTCATTGCCTGAGAGCACAGGTTAAGCACTATTAGCCAATGAATGAGTGTTTGTGCAATAGATATACCCAGTTCTGAAATTAGCTAGCCAGGAATGAAAGTTACGCATCCGACTGTTAGCCTAAATGGCTCTGTGCCATGCACCATGACCACTTCAAAATACTGAAGTGATCATGCTGCTTGAAGTAACCATTGCCAAAAGATGGTTAACAGAATAGACATGACATGGGAAAAAAATAAAAATAGAATAAATACTTATTAAGATGATATTGCTGGTCATTTACAAAAGCAACATTAAAGGACCACTATAGTGCCAGGAAAACATACTCGTTTTCCTGCCACTATAGTGCCCTGAGGATGCCCCCACCCTCAGGGTCCCCCTCCCGCCAGGCTGGATGGAGAGGAAAGGGTTAAACTTACCTCTTTCTCCAGCGCCGGGTGGGGAGCTCTCCTCCTCCTCTCCTCCCTCTTCTCCTCCTCTTCGGCTGAATGCGCAGCCACGCGCACATTCAGCCAGTCCATAGGAAAGCATTCGCAATGCTTTCCTATGGACGCTGGCATCTTCTCACTGTGATTTTCACAGTGAGAAACGCGGAAGCCCTCTAGCGGCTGTCAATGAGACAGCCATTAGAGGCTGGATTAACCATAACATAAACATAACAGTTTCTCCTTTAAGACCCAAGAGAATTAGAATGGAGAATAAGCTTTGGGAGCAGGCAGACAGCAGGTCCTAGGGATCGAAAAACCTAACTACAGATGGTCAAGTAGCTCATTAGAGCACAGACGGTAATTTAAGTGATTGTACACAATAAATCTACCGTAATTAACTTTCAACTAGGAAACTTCTCGAAAAACCCAAATTGAAAGTGTTCCCATTAGCATTAATTTTTATTAACTAGTCAAGTACATTAGGGTATTTTTGTATTTTCATCTATGCCTGCTGAGCAAATGTAATGTTTTAGTAAAAAAAAAAAATACAAGGAAATGCAATGTTTGCAGTGTCATTATCATCATCAAAGCACTGTCCAAAATAAGTTGGGCACTGAATTTAAAATTGATCAACCCTGATATTACTTAGAATTATAAGTATAGGCCTGATATCACTGGTGAACGCCAAAAATAGACTGTACATGATAGTCTGAAATCTCTTTTTAAATCCTTCTCTTTTTGAAGACCTAAGATTAATGACTTCAGAATGTTCATGCTGTGCTTT